TGAGTGAGTGAGTGAGTGAGTGAGTGAGTGAGTGAGTGAGTGTGTGAGTGAGTGGGTGAGAGTGAGTGTGGGTGAGAGTGAGAGGGAGTGTGAGTGTGACTGAGAGTGGGAGAGTGAGTGAGTGTGAGTGTGAGCGCGAGTGTGAGTGAGAGTGAGAATGAGTGTGAGTGAGTGTGGGTGAGAGTGAGTACACTACATAGTGCAATCGATTCAACAGCCTGTTGCAGGTTCTTCGGAGTGGGTCTGACCCGAAGGATGTGTTCTGATGATCCAAAACTCCAACATCTGATATCTCACACATAGTCAGTTGGCACGTGACGGTCACAAAAAAACAGTAAAGGTGGTGACATCTTCCGGGAGTGTTTCTCATGCAGCGAAACCAGCGTCGATAGAGGCCATAGAAAAGCTGGTATCCACATACCCGAGCGAGTGAGGACAGTGATATATACCTCAAAAACACAACAATCATAAGGAAAACAGGTATGCTTCGCCAAAGTCGAACATCCTGCATTCACATCATTCTGGTAGCATCCAACAAAAACCAGCATGTGCATGTGGCTACTGCGGGTGTCCATCATGTGGGTATTTTGTTCACCTGCAGGACTGGGTCCTCCCTCCACATCCTCCGCCCTCCGCCTAGCGTCCCAGACTGGGTCATCCCTTGAGGAGACCAAGACGTTCAGAGTGATCAGAAGGATTCCGCAAATATTTCCGACCTGGGAAAAGAAAGAAGAACATGAACGACCCACGCTTGGTCTGAGCTCCGAAAATGACGCTCCATGTTAAACTATCTATATAAGCTTTCCTACACTTATGTATATATATATATATATGCACAGAATATGTGTTACCTTCATCATGGAGCGAAGTTCGAGGGTGAATGTAGTAGTACATGACACTTGCTGACCTGTTTGCGTATAGGGTAACTTGGAGCTACCGCCCTCTGTACGACTCGAATTCCGCTCTGTGGACTTCTTCAGCCAGACCGGCGCTGGTGCAAGTTTGCCGGTTGGTCGCCAGGTTGGTCCCACAATTTGGGCTATATAAAGTACAATATAGTACAATCTCAAAGAGTCTGAAAAGCCATGAACTTACAGTAATTACTCTCCCTCGCATTCAACTCGGTGCCAACAGTGTTATTGATTCTGGGGAAGTCGAAACACAACGACCCTCTTCAGGGACGCGTCCCTGGAAAGTACCACTAGAAAGATCTAAAATGATAGCAATTTCATTGACAAACTCTTAGAAAAGAAGTGCTGAACTCTAAGTCAAGGCTCAATATTGCATATCCGGCGGCTTTTCGGTATGCAGTAGCTCACCTCACACGTTTGCGAGAATGATGCGGAGCCTCTCCACGCAACATCGGCCCGGAGCCTCTCCGCACCTGCCTCATGTCATCAGGGAAAACTGGCTCCTCACCTTTTGACACAGCTTGCACGGGGAGAAGCTTCCTTGAAGGAGGCAAACAAAACAGCAATATACAGCAATGAATGGATCAAATGAAGCATCCAAACTGTTACCGATGGACAAGCTTCAGCCACGGGCAGGCTTTAAATCACCCCATCTTCCAGTACTTCCAGTTCCAACCCACCAAGGCACTAAGAGGCCGGAGAAAATGGCCGCAGCAGCCACCATGACCTCACTGTGGAAAATCTTATGAGAACACACATATTTGAGCAAACACATGAGGGCACGCATGAAGAGCACAAGAAATAAGTGAGAACACGTACATGGAAGATAATGAGAGCTAATCTACAACCTCCTGTAAGTGCCGGCAGTTGACACAGTTTCTCTCTCCAAACGTTTGGTTTCCTTGCCTGTGCTGTTCGAACCGAACCGCATAAGCCCCCAAGTCACCCAGTTCAGTCCGGAAATTCTTGTATATTTATATATAGGTATCTCGTATCTGTGATTATCTGTATATAAGCGTTGGTGAGTTGATCATTTTGCAAAGGCTAGGGCCCTTCTGACCTATACTATTCAATCTATGAGGTGTCTCTGCAAATGCAAAACCCTAAGAGCCCTTCAACCCTCCATAACAGTAGCGGACCCTCCCTAGCAGGAGTACAAACTCATAAAACCCTTCCATTTGGGTCGAGCCCGGATTCTTAGACCATGAAACTACTATGGCCGCATAGCCTGACCATGTTGCTTTCAAGTTGATCACACCATGTTTACTTCGACATCGCCAATCGACAAACATCAAGAACAAACGTGCCCCAGTTTTTGCCGCCCAGGGACCTTCACTTTCCGACTAAACGTTGGGGTTCACCAAGTCCAGCAGGAGACGCAAAACACACATCTGCCTGCCACCCCAAATTACAAAAGGACCTCTAACTGATCCCGCGATCCCTGCCACGTGGCCGGCTGCACTAACTGGAAGAAGTTGAAGTTCAAGCTCTCTCCATAAGCACCTCTTGCAGAAACTGTGCAATCATGGGAGTGAGTAGAGCATGGTGCCAAACAAACACCCGGACCTCATGGTGCCATCAACCTCGCGTCGTTCCATTGGTTCGAGAGGAACTGGGCGCAAGGACCGAAGGAAATGCATTGGTTCAATGCAAACCTCAGGTTTAAATGGCCAGCACTATGGCCAGCTCTACAACGATTCTTGGGCTGGGCATGTAACTCTGATCCTTCGTTGAGCTACCGGACGACCGGAGTTTCAGACCTATGGACTCTGGACGGTCACATCTCGCAAACGGTGGCAGTCATTCACATGAAATACCCCCCCCGCAAACTGAAGAATTGAATCTGAGAATTGACCTGTGGAAGACCATTTCCTCTACAACCCAGTGGTTTTGGGGTTCCATGTTAATCTGCAGGGGAGTATTCAACCTGACTAGCCACCTAGCGAGAGCAAGTCCACTTGGAATCCCTCGACCAAGTAATGCTCGCTGCGTTGGCTTCAAGTTAGATTAAAGGAACCAAGTATATATGTTGAGAGCAGCAATGCAAGTGATACAACTCCTGGCTCTAATCCCAAGGATCCCAAAGGCTTAGAAACTATGTTGCATTGCGCCCACGGTGCGGGCAAATCCAAGATTTGAGCCCAAGAGTCTTGATGAAAATATGAGAGGCTCCCAGTTGCTCCGCAACGGCCATAAAACATACTCCCTTTAATACAATCTTCTCATCCCAAGGCCAACTCGCAGTTTCTCGTCCAATCTTCGTCCAACCCTTGGAGTCCGTGCCATAGGTGTAGAGCAGCATGTTGAGAGGCGTCAGGCCACAGGACAGGACAGTGGAACAGGTGGTCATGGCAATGCTCAAGGCCAAATCCGCATTGCACACGGAGCACCACCTGAGATCTGTCGAGAGCAGGGTGAGATCTCTCGAGCCGGTGTTTCTTTCAGACAAGTTGCTGTCGACTTCATAGATGGAAAGAAGAAGCAAAGCGTAAAAGTGAAATGCGAACGGCCGAAGCAAACATGCCAACTCACAACACCTATCTCTAGACTCTAAAGATCTCTAGAGACTCTAAAGGAAAAAAAACAGTCTTACATTGCCAGATCTGTGCCGTTGAATGTTTTCCCAAACAAGGATGTTTACAAGGATGAATCCATATGTAACTTTGATCTGGATGTGTCTGATAACTTACGTCCTTGCAAACGCTTTTCCAAGGGTGGTTCCCAACCTGGCATCTTGGTGCACTGTTGGTAGCGTATTGTAGTGTACCTCATTGCCTGGTAATTCCCAGTGCACATACTGACACTGACTTCTAGATCAAACAATCAATCTCCAAAGGTTCACAAGCCAAGGGTTTCACATGTTTTTTTGCTATATATACACCAATGCGATGCCCTCATTGGACTCTACCTATGCTTCACAAGCGATCCACCAACTCGTCGACTGTCCAAGTGGCCAGTTGCTATAAGCACCTCCTGGTGAGGAGGTCACCTGGTGACAGGTGACGCAGTGGAGTGAAGAAGTGACGCACGGGGGGGTGCTGATTCGATCCACTCGCCTGGGGTCTAAAGGCCTCCCGAAATTGGCACTGGTATCATCTGATATCCTTGATTTCTGATCTAATTATATTGGAATTCCAAGCTCCTCGCCGGTAAACACATGCATGGTGACAAGTTGTTCTTCTCCTGACCCGACTCTGAAATCACGAACTGGTCGGGTCGATCACGTTGGCAAAATGGGAAGCCCCAAACCCGATAGAAGGACACGTGCATACTATGTCTATAAATCTCTATGTCTGCATGATATCGACTATATTCCATTTAACAAATAATGTATACATATATAATGGATATCTATTTCTCCTGCCAGATGTTTGGCAAAAAAACAAGAACCTTCTAGGTCCGTGTTTGGGTCTTGGTAAAGCACTGGTAGTCACAACGGTTGATTTCGGAGGTAATTGGATTCAGTTTCAAGTATTTTCAAGTCCTCATTGTCCCGCATCAGCCCAATCGTCATCGAGTCCCCAGGCGGTGATGAGCATGATTCCGACCACCGGATCGAACTGAAAGGCCTCCGCCACAAGGATGACTCATAAGTCATAAGCCATCTTGAAGGAGAGGAGGGAGGAGGGACTCCATGCTCAGGTGAAAGAGACATGATGCCTGATATAATATGTGTTTTAATGACCCTAAGAATCCTTGGACCCTCCATAGCAGGGGTCGAGCCCTCCATAAGAGGGCTCAAAATCCATCAAACCCTCATGTTTGCGGGTCCAGATCCATTTTTGGAGATGAATTTGGTCGCTGCAAACTCATCAAAACCGATTCTGTTGAACATGGGCATGCTGCGAAAACCATCAAACAAAAAAAACAACACATAAACGTGGCCAAGCAACACCATCTGGCATCATCTAGCGTGATATCTCATGGTACTGGGACGTGCTTAGAACATCTCCCCATTCTTTCCCCATAGGTCTTGGTCGCCTGAAGAAACAATTGAGAACTCAACCCACTGGTGAGCCGCCTTTCCACACTCGTTCCTCTTCTGCACGCCAAAGGTTTTCGCCCGCGACCAGGCCTTCCTACTAATTCTAGAAACAGCCAAAGCTGTCTGCCCAGCTGTTGATGGAAGGAACAAGTGGTCCAACATCGCCACCCGCACCCGCCCAATTCGCTGTGAAAAAGGAAACGCGGTCCATCGACCTCGCCTTGGCGGCGGAGAAACCCAAGCAAGGGAGGACGATGAACTGACATGCGACACCTGCGAGGGCTGGGATGTTGGGCATGGGGATTGTCTCTGGCATGTTGGGCTGGTAGAATGCACAAAATATCACCTAAAAGGGTTCTGCTCATTGGGCGATGATTGAAAGGCTCACGATCTTTTCTTAGGGGCGGTGTAGCAAGCAAATGTACAAGGCTACAATGTTACAACCTCAGCCACCCATTGGCGAAAGGACAGCTGGAGCAAGTCGGATACCTGCCTTTCACACCCTGAGCGACACCCGTGTGACCGTGTGACATTTTTTGCCTGGATGTTTCAAACACGGAAGGGGCAATCTGAGAGTCTGCCTAGGAATATCTTGGAATATTGGACTGGACTTAGTCCGTGGACTTATGGTAAAATGTAGTAAGACTGCTAACTGCTAACTTCTTCAACTAACTACAAACAAAAACACTTTTTCATTGAGTGCTCCCACTCCGCAAGAAAACCATAGAACACTTTTTGGGGGGGCGCAAGCGCCTGGCTATCCTGCAGTGTTCTGCATGGGGCCCGTCATCTCTCCACTATGGGTTCCCGGGCCAAAGGCGATGCTGGTCTTCTGGCGAAACCTGGGAAGCACGGCTCCATGTCGGTCGGTGATGTTGTTTGAACAACACTAGGACATGGCGACCTGGCAAGGGATGAACACCCCTTGCCATGCAACGCATGAACAAATCCTATATAGTTGAGGGGCCAAAGGCGGGGCTTCGCTTGTACCCACTTGGAAGACACACATGGTGGGGGTGACCGTGTTTTGGCCTCAGAGCATAGTAGCCAACAAACAAACACAAAATTGAATTGCTAACACTTCCAACCACCTTTGCCAAATTGTAATAAATTGTATGTTTTTTGTTTTTTAGAGTTAATTTAATGTCCATCTAATTTCAAACAGTAAACTATGACATGTTCCCTATTGGCTCAGTTAATTACTCCATTAGTCCATGGAACTCTTCTGAACAAGACATATATATATATATAGATCATGCTATATAACTGAACTCCACTGGGTGTGCAATGAACTATATTGACTGTCAGACTCGGGTTCCAGGCCTTTGCCGAAGAAGGTCGATGTCCACGCTTCCCGAGAGTCCGGCCAATAGAAGGAAGAGTAGGACCTGCAGGATGAAGCTGCCATGGTCTAATTACCAAGAACAACAAAGAAAAAAAGTAAACAAATCGGGATGGTGTTCAATGCCTGAAGGGTGGATTGTGGGGAACCTGATCATCAATCAACAAGCACAGAATACACTTAATAGTCGTTTCATCAAATATGTCACCATCGTTGTGTGTGCTGTTTCTCAAAAGTTGCCCCTTCCTAGAGTCTTAGAGCTGAGTCCTTTCATGACTCTACCCTGTTTTGATCAGGGCCCTCTGGAATACAATATCATGGAAAGCAAATCAACAAAGGTGCAAAGCTACAAGTTCCCAGTGGCTGGACTGTCTGCTTCAAGAAGCAAGCCGTGGTTCCAAGAAAGACCTGGTTGGCCCGTGGTTCCCTTGACTCCATTGGGGTTAGTTGGTACATTGAGCCCAAAAGAGCTGCTGCATGGTGTGGCTCTTGGGGTGAGAGATCACCATGGGACAGGACAGACCCGGTTGGCCGAAACGGGTGCGAAAGCGACCTGGTGACCCGATGCAAAGGCGCGAAGGTTTCTGCCATCTGCAGGAAACAGTTCCATATGGCCTTTGGCTTCTTACTTTGTGATCCGCGTCTCTTTACTCAAGTTTTGAAATATATGATGGAACAGTCAACTCCAAGTCTCCTGGACTCCTTGCACATGGGGTGCACATGGGGTCTTCTTCGGAACTGGATGACTCATTGCTTCCGGCGCAACCAACGGTGACCCTTCTGCCGCCTGGGCGATGATCGCGAAGACCAGTTGCATCGAAGGATCGCGCAGACCGCCCCGAGCGCCGCTTCGGCGTCAAGCAGGCGCCACGCAACACATGAAAGAGTCCGTTGGGTCCCAGATCTCACTGATCTCACTGGGGCCCCTCAGTTCGAGCCTCGAAATCGAGAGTCCACTGCTCTGGCACAGCAACACAGCACAGCAAGTAAGTGCAAAAGTCATAGACATGTAGCCCTGTGCTGAGAGGACGAGATGATACATTGTGGTATTTTTTAGAAGGGCTCATTGGATGGGCTGGTCCAGTGGTGCTGACAAAGGTAAATTCCACAGCAGGAAGGTATACCTTTATACCAGGGTGATGCCCAGAATGTGTCCATGTTGTTGGTCATGGAAATCTGGTCCAATGTATTCCATCTGTCTGGCTGGCACTGGGCGAACGCTAGACGTGGATGGCTTGGCGAACGTATCTTCTACTCGTTGGATCTCTCCACCGCCTCCCCCGGTCTTGAGCCATGCGCGAAAATGTGTGGCTGACCGACGTGGGTTCATCAAACCTAAAATCTAGAAAGAACCGCTAGTTGCGGGTTCACTTCCTACAAACAATTGAGTTTGGGGCATTTGGGACGTTAACATATCTTCCGTCTTCGGTTTCGCTTCAGTTCCTGCCAGGGGTAGGGGTTGCCTCTTGAGGACACAAGGCGGTTGCTTCAACACCCTGCAAAAACCTCAGAAACTACACTATATAGCCCCAGTCATAGATAGAAAAGTAGATCCCCACTAAAAATGCATTGGACACCGTGCCACGAATGCTCTTTGGGGATCATTAACATAACACCTTGGATTGAATCACTCAACCCAGTGAGTGTTGTGATAGATAGCTATAGCAATATCTAGCAGTAAGACTATATAGAATATGTTTGTTCTTTAGATACTTGCACCATATCACCCAAGAACCAAATCGAGTCTTTTCTGGTCAACGTCGTTCGACACATCTCTGGTGACGTTGAGTGACTCTCGACGCTGCTTGAGTTGCCTTTTCGGGCGTCGTTCACTGCCGCGACAAAGGGGATGGTTCACTGCACTGAGAATGGGGTGCTGGAAAGGTTTTGACCTCCTTTCAATGTGTTCTTCTTTTAAATATTGCTGACTGCGCGAATCATGCTGAAGCCATTGTTAAGAAACCGGACAAAGATTGAAAACGTAGGTTGTTGTTTCTTTGAGTCTTTCGATGACTGTAGCCTGATCAACCATGTTCGCTTGGATGAACCATCCCCAGTAGCACCGCCACCCATGCGCGGAAACCGCTTCACCGAGGTGCCAGGCTGGGAGGCCTTGGGTCCGGATGGAGCGGTCGGTTTGATCTCCGATTTTCTCCGGAAAGACTCACATCTCAGGATCAAACACACTCAGTCTGTGTGTGTCCACACCTGTGCCTAAGGTTTTGAGTCACAAAGGACGCTAGTAGGGGCCCCTGGTTTCGCTACTAAGGGCTCTTGCGAGCAACCATCCAAGTGTGTGTTCATACTCCTGAGATCCCTCCGCTCCGGCCCGTGGGTCCCGAGGTTTGGGAGATGTGGTTTGAGGCACACACCCGTTTTGCTGCAGAACGTCTGTCGCCTCGTGGGGCTATGTGACCGTGCTTTCAAGGGGGGCAGGAGTGGCAGCTTCTTCTCAAAAGGAGTAATAAGGCTGAGGATTCCAGTAGATGACTTGGAATTCAGCTGGAAAACATATAAGAACACGCTACGCTCAGCAAAGGAGTATCTTGACAAGGAACAAAAACCTCCACCGACCTCCAGAGCCCATCACGAAAGAATTTCGGAAGGCACTGATGTGGCAGCGGGTCAAAACCCGACATCTCCAGTCTCGATTTTGACCCACCATTCAACACTTAATGCACCGATGTTCATTCCAGGGTGCTTCATGACTTTCAAGTAGATGATTTGCCGGAGTTGCCTTTCCCTGAAAAATTAGACTTTCATGAGAAACTGCGTAGACATCATCTAGCAAGCAAACCGCGATATCCGCCCCCCTTGTCTTGGCCGTCCGCAGTAGATTGTGTTGACCTTGTGTGACTGATTTCTGCGTTTCATGCGAGATACCGCGTGTACACAGTGTGTGTTTGGATATGTCCACTTCGAAATATTCCATATTTGTCAGGTCTCCTACCACATCGCTCAGCGTAGGAAGCAACGAACTCTTTGTCCGTCAGAGCGTTGCTCAAAAAACCCCTGGTAGGCTTCGGTTGACCTCCCCAGTAGCCTATTCTGTTAATCCTCCGTGGCGGGTTCCGGATTTCGAGGCGCCTCAGCGATCCCAGCCAGCCAAGTCGTCGTCGGAGTCCTCGCCGGGTGGTGGGCCTGGCAACAGAGCGAGCCAAAGCTGATGACTCGGGGCGACATTGACCGCGACGGGCAAGTTCAAAGCAAAAACGGAGGTGAATTACTACAGCACAGGTTAACGGTAGTTAAATATACCAGGATCGCTCGAGCTATATCACTTTGTCCAAGTCCTCGCCAAAGGTTGAGCCGAGGGATACTTTTTCATTGGATGAAGGGCATGACGCGTGTAGAAGGATCGGGACCCGAACCACTGGTTTCCACCTGCTGCCCTTCCAACTGCCAACCTTCTGATGTTACTGTAAGTTCGGATGTCATGTGATTTCAAAAAAATAGTGGTTGCTGCTGCTCTGGTCGATTCTGATGCGGTGCATGACTTTGTCCATTTGTGTGCACGACCTGCCCCCCCCAAACAAAACAAATTGACAAACATGACAAAGGTCCAAAGCAACATGGAGAGCCACGGGTGTTCATGGTGTTCCTCTCTGCTACTACCTGTGACATCAGCTCTAATTCCTGTACCCCTTGAAACCCAAAGAAAGACCTATTTAAGTCTTCCACGGCATCGATCCAACAAAAGAACCTAAACGACCTATATCCAGCACCACGTCAGGGGGTCTATAAATCAACCGTGGGGTGGTGCTGGATGAGTTGTGTTTGTTCCTCCATTCTTTTCAAAATCAAGGGTACCAGCCGGGGATGGCTGTTTTCAAAGGTCGTCACGTTCTCAACGACCTATGAGTTGCGTTTTCATCATCGAGGATTATTTGGGAATTGTTTTGCCATTGATGGGATGAGTCTTGAAGGGTGTGCATGAATCCCAACACAAACGGCATGTGGAGGATCTATGGATCTGGAGTGTACTAAAGAGAACACGCGAGGGCATTCCCTATCATTCGGAGCCGGCATAGTCAGTAACAGGGTCGAAATGCCTCTAGCAAATTTGATCAAATTTGCATCGATTAAGGAATGCAGGCTACGCCATAGGTGTACCTCCAGCGCAGTCAGTGGGAGTAGCAACCTTCACACCATTCTTTGAGAGAAACCAGAAATTGAAAAAGTTCCATGCTACAGTTCAACGATCCAGTAGAATCTTGATCGTTGATCTCTACTCCTTTTGTCAACGATGCGAGTTCATAACCCAAAGTATTTTCTGATATGTTCTGGCTCTATTTCTCAAGAGTCCCTTTGCTTGCAGTCCAGTCCAATCACTGGAAATTCCGAAACCTATGAGGTAGTTTCTGGTCCCCCTATCACCCCGGCCTCTTTGCTCGCTGTAGCCGCTCACCGTGGCCGGAGGGACAGCGCCTGCAGCATAGCTGCCCGCGCCGCCCGCGCCGCCCGCGCCGGGCGCAGCACCATGTGGCACGGCCTCGTCCGAGGCGAAGCGAGGGACCATGAACCATCAGCTGATTTGATCACCTCTGGGGGGTCCACCCAGTCATGCGAAGCGAAAGTAGCACCAGTTCCAAAGAAACTGGGGTCAGCCAGTTTTTAGCGTTGGGATAAAAACACCACGTGTTATTCATCGCGTGAAAGTTATACACTCATCAAAACATGTGAACATATGGTTTTGTTGCATGGTATATAGAAAAACAACTGCAGTATTACTATTAAACATACTATATTATCACATGATATTATAGGTGCATATAGATATATCTCAAGTAGTCTAATTCCTACTTCCATCATCCAGGTCATCATGAAACACGTGAATAGGAAGCGTTGCAAATCCAAAGATGGATGGAACCTGCTCGAGTGACAAAGGATTAAATTGCGTTCCTTCTGCAAACAACGTATAAATAGGTGACTCTCACAAAGTGTCCAAATGGCCGAAGCGCGGTAAATCCCCTATGTGAAAAGTAACCTGCATATGTCCTTTTCTGCTGTTTATCGTACCCCAGTCACATTCCAATTCCAATTGTTCAGAAAAATGGCACTAGTGCTCCGTAGCGAAGCGAACCATCTGCAAGCCGTGGATGTGTCCAGGTCACGTCGCGGTCTCGGTCGCTCAGGACCGGACGCTGAAGGATCCCGATCCGGAGGGCCCTGATCAATGAGCCGTCCTATGATGTCACATGTCATACCAGGACAAGTCATAGATTGATTTACCGGTTTCTTCAGTCTGTTTATATCTTATATCTACTATGCCACCTACGGAATCCTGGAAAGACCTGAGGACCTTCGTCGACCAACGTGTCCGTGGTCGTTCCCCATCACATCTCCGCGGTCGAGGCCCTGTCTCCAACACCACAACAAGACAAACAACATTGGTTGGTTGGTGAAGGTTGAGATGCAAGAGACCAGTGGATTCAATAGACAAAACCCATCAAATGAACTCTTGGCATTGGAAGTCCCAACTGAGTCGTAGACGTCTCATCTGCGAACTTTGCGCAGCATTCCCTTGGCGGATTTTTGGGTCGCCCTGCCCCCCCCCTTAGCGAGAGAACAAACAAACATACAGACCTGCCGTTGCATGTCAATGTCATGAATCTGCGGTTCGGCTGTTTGTTCCGGATTGCTCAGCAACAAAAACTTGTTTAGCAGGATATTGTCTGGATTTTTGAACCTTAAAGATTATAAGCTCCTTCAACAAAACAAGATTGAAACATCTCCTTGAAAAGGCCGCCAACCCAAAGCAGGTCAGGAAAGTCTGTAGAATCGACATAGATCCTCAACATTTCAACTCGCTGTTGTGGCAAGCTCTTGGCATCCAACGCGGTGCTGTCAGATGCGGAGCTGAACCTAATTGGTCAAAGCCATTTCTGAGAAAAACACCATGGAAGAGATGGAAGACACGATGGAAGACACGTGATGTACACAAATGGTCGTTTTCAATCGTTTTCTCCGCATTTTGAGCCCGCTGCTGATGACCGCCGTGGCCAAAAGGTTCAGCTCCTTGGGGAAGGTGATTGGCTGGCGCTCCATCTTCGGGGCTTCGCCAGTCATCTGTCAACTTGAGATTTTGGGCAGTTGAACGCAGGGCGCACTGGACCTTCGTCACCAACCTCAAACCTGCAGGTTGAAAGGCAAGAAGCAACCTGGGGCTTCAAAAGGTCAGTTCAGAACCTGGACAGTGGGTTTGAAGAACAATGCGTTCATGTGAAATATCATTGGACGTGAACCCCGCTAGAACTGTGATGGGCTCAAGCAACCCGACGAGACTCTGGCCAACACCGCGGGAACTTTGTCACTCTTTGTCTCTTCGGGTCATGGCCATGGTAGGCCAAGCATGGCCTGTGCAATGTACATGTCCGCACCACCCCGGCCCCCCTAAGGCACACTGTGGGCGAACGAATAACTGATCAAGCAATGACAACGACGGGAAAGCACGACACCCCATCTAAGTCGTCTCCACTTCCCTGATACAAACTAATACACATGAATCAATTGTGATACGTGTGAGGGATGTAAGGACCATACCCGCCTAATCCATCTGGATGACGAGTTCCAGATCCGCGCTTTCCGGAGCTCGGCCCCCGACTCGGCCCGGCGCTGGGAAGTGCCAAATGCGCAAGCGCTTGTCCTAGCGGGGGTGGCAGACATCGGAGGACCCTGAAGACAAGGACCAGTGATAAAAAGGAGGCAAAAAGACCCCTGATTTGGCTGACCTCAGTTTGAGGTACTTTTGAAGCATCAGCTGTATGTATGTCTCTATTGAGTTGTTAAATTGACTACAGTAACCGACAAAGAATACAATATGATAATTGCATCAATAATTCAATCTAAGATGATCTAAGTACACCCTGAGAAGGTCAGAACTGATCCTCCAGCCTCCAGTCACTCACTCATTTCAAATCCTTAACCACCTAAGGTATGTGTTGTGTGTTTTTTGCTGGAAGAGCTTTCTGCTCATTTTGGGGGGAGACTCCCACGCCCGTACGGTTCCACTGTATGCTGCTCCAGGTCGCCGGATGCGGATACGCCGGATGCTGAGACGTGCCACGGCCGGCTCGTACGCCACGTGCCACGACCGGCTCGTTCGACCCGTCCTTGGAGGCACTGAAGAGCCGTCGCTGAGCTTCATCCCAATGGAGGGCTGTGATCTCATCCTGGAAAGGTGTCAACCGAACGAACGGGGCACCCGATTCTAGGGTGGAAACAAGAGGAGGTACAGTGCCTGATTCGGGCAAGTGATCGCAGGAACCATGACGTGCTGCCGCCCCGAGCTACACCAAAACGCAGCTTTTTCACCTGAGCATCGCCATCCAGTTCGGTACCTCGGGTTCAAGCGAGCAGCCAACAAGTTGCAGTCCTCATGTGCCTGCCACGCGTAGGACGGCCCACCTTGACCATCAAGCACACAGGTCTGCAACATTTTGGACTTCGGACAGCCGCTACTTAGCTACTTTGCGAATGCGATCTGGGCGATCTCTCACCTATCACCTACCCGAATGAAAGGTATTTTCGTGGGCTTGCTCTAAAGTTGAGCACCGTGGGAGGCTCAGGAAGTCTTGGGACAATTTCTCACTTTCGGAGGCCTCGTGAGGCCTCCCACCTTCGGGATGCAAACAACCTCCCAAGCAAACCCGCCCAGTTGCAACACAGCTCAGCTCCTGGGTGACTGGAAATGACACTCAGTCAGTGGAACTCTTAGACGGTTAGCCGCTTTTGGCCCAAGAAGAGGGCAGAAGGCCACATAATTAAGAAACCAAGCAACCTGATTACATGGGAACCACTGAGAGTCTAGATTTAACATATAGCAAAGACTGTCATAGGAAAGAAGGTTGTTTCTTTCTGTTCTTTCGCTTCAACGCCACAGCAGCCCGCTCAATCGCGGCCACCCGGCCACACAGGCGCCGGTGGCAAAGCCGGCGATGAGCTCGTGCGAGGAGCCCAGCCAGGTCACGGCGGTGCACCTGGGCCGGACGGATCCGGGGCGACGGCCGGCCAAAGGTGCTGGGAAGCCCGTGAACAACGGGGTCATAGTGGGATTGGGGCGGTTCTTTGTCAGTTGAACGTGCATATGGCTCCATCCTGGTCTGTTGTAAATGCAACAGTTCCTCGAGGAGCTTCTTGGGCAGGAACTGAGTTGCTCCAGGAAGTGTCCTTCTCAACAAGCACCTTTGGCTTGCTTGACCATTGATACCTACTTCTCCCCCTTGTTCATATCATGTGGACTGGCGGCATTTCCCAACAGTTCTCACATTCTATTTTGCCACATGCTCTTTCACCAGAGCAGTTTTTGAACATTTGAACGCTAGTTGTATTGTTTTGGATGGGTTTGAGGCGCCTTCTCCCAGGATCATTTTAGATCGATGTCCTTGAGAAGGCAGTGTTTCCAAATATGTTCAAGCAAAAGCATTTCAAGACAAAGCAACTTGACCATACCATACTTGACCAATAAAACCCTTGTGAAGATTGAGGCAAATTTCCTTTGCTGCCCAATGTTCTAAATCATTTAAGAGTATAGACTACAGTATAGAAGAAGTTAAGCAAGAAATATGCAAGGTAGAGTTCAAGCTTACACCAATAGTCAACAAACACAGCAAGAAGGCAAAATAAACTATGGGCCCACATGCATCGCCAATAGGTTACCAGAACTAATTACACAAAACCAACACTGACATTGCAAACCAAAAACACCAATGTTGATAAAACTGGCCCCACCCTGTGGTGGCCTCATCGTGTCTGAAACCTTGCATTCTTTGTGTTCGGCTTTTGTTTTTGTTGAAACCTTGTTCTGTGTGGTTGCGCGAAAATCATCTCCAAAGAGCACATGCTCTGTAAAATTGCCAGGCCTTGGTACTTCACCGAGTTGCTCCAGCTGCTCTTAATGAATGCCCTCAAAATGAATTGACGCCTACTTACTTGCCCAAAAAGGACACCCACTTCGGCCCAGGTTGGCCCAGCTTTCGTCTGACCAGTGGATCTTTTGTTTGACGGATTCCTGGGGGGGTTATTGTGGTTGGCTTTGGTTCTTCCATCACTCACAAAAGAGGAAAGAACGGATTACCCCTACTTGGTTGAACAAAATAACCACAGCCAGCCTGTAAACCGTTCCTGTGTTTTCATGGATTGTGTTCCTTTCATGTTCTTTCATGTTTCGTTTGGCCTTCTTTGGCACAAGTGAATTTGTGGCCCCCACTGGGGGCACCTGGCATCCTAGGACCCGGTGCAGCTGGCATCCGTCGATTCTCCGGGTCGATTCGGCAGTCGATTTCTGAGATCCGCGCGGATTCATCACTGGGATCGTACCCTTGCTGCGTCCCCAGGCACCTGCCAAGGTCGAGTTGAGTCGAACATCTGAGTGTCGCATCTACAGCAACACGGACCTACAGCAACCGATGTGCCAATCCTTCCTCCACCAGGTAGATTTCAGGGAAGAGTTGAAGCGTACATATCCAGCGGTCGAATCACCCGATTCACACAGCCCAAGGACTTGGAGCCTAATCTAGTTGTGACCACAAAGCTTGTATGACCACGTTAATGCCAAACATAAAAAAAAGAATGTGGATGGGATGTACCTTAATGTTCCTCAATAATCCTTATTTTATTGCGGCTCAGACTGTATATAGGAGGCCAGTTGTTCACTCCCAGCCTGTTTCCCTTTCCTGCCTAATCTGCTACATGTAAATAAAAAAATCATTACAACTCTATGTAGACTTATGATATATGGGTCATTATAAACTTATCGATCAATATAAACTTATCGATCAATCACCCCAGTCGATCAATCACCCCTCTAAACCAGAACAATCACCTGGATTCCTGGATGCACCAGGCCGGCTGCAAACGCAAGAGCATGCAAAAGCATCAAGGATATCACACATCGACTGAAAGCAATAAGCGGCTCATAGCCCGCTCACTGACAAGTGCAACTCTCTGAAACATATTTCGGCCCACTTCACAAATTTCACAACCACATCCAACACGCAGTTAGGGCACCGGAGCTAGCGGCTTTCACGCACCAAATCCGCAGAGCATCCTTGCTGGCCGAGAACAACCTGAGCCCAGTGGTCATGCATCCTACCTCACCTTCGGCGTCTGAGCCACCCTCAAAACTCGTGGCTAAGAGACAAGGGTGTTCTCAAGCGGGGGGTAAGACTTGACATTCACAAATGGACCACACGGTATATGAAGGTTGCTTTGGAAAACGAAAGTAAAGCGTGCGTGAACGTCTACATTGCTGTCCATAAGGGGTCAGTCTAACAGCGGAATATGTTCATGTTGACATAGATGTAGCTAAAATGCTTAGGCTCTTGACATCAGAAGTCCTAAAATCCGAAGCACAACTCGGAACCAGCAATGATGTGTCAACTCGAGTATGGCAGCCCCCGCACTTCCAGCAGAACTGCTTGTTTGCATCTGAGCGTCAGCTCCAGTGAAGTCGTGGAATAGAATGCCGAAATGAGGGGAAACCATGAACAGCCATTTTCTCACTGGCCGGTCCAAGCATACCTAATTCCACCGTTTGTCTGTAAATGCCGCCCATCCGGGCTCCCTGTGACCCTTCACCGGTCCTTTTCGGTCAAAGAAGTGCTTTGCTCCAAAAATTACGTGGACCGCATTGGATGATGACACGTTGGCTGGCCATGCGCCGCCCTTTGGACTCTTGGGTACGGTAGAGCTGTAGATAGCCTCTCTGATTTTTCAGCAGCTGCACTGAGCAAACAAAGCGCCCCTTAAACAAACAATATGCTAAGTGTTCTGGATGGGTGCACTTGTGCATGAAACTGTGACATGTGGGCTCCCAGGGAAAGATTCCCGGAGCCCACAGCAAGGAACTGTCCCGTGACAATATCCAACATGTCGTAGACGATAGGTATCCACATTCCTCTCATGATTCAATTTTGATGCTGGTGGGAACCATCGGCAATGCCCCTAACTACAAACAACATCCATGGAAAATAAGCTGGCAAGTGGCCTTTTGTGTGGCCCCATGCCCTTCGCAGATTAATCCGGTCTCCAATCTTTGTCAGGTCCTTCTTTGCAGCGGCAAGCATGGCTGTGTCACCAGACTACCACTGGTCAGGGGAAGCAGAGCGACTCATACGCTTCAATGAAAGAAACTACTCAAACGCTGCAGCCACGGTCGCTTCTCAAGACGTCTCGGTCTCCAGGTAGGCCCCAGAATAGCCGGGTAGAGTGGCCTATTTCTTTTGGCAAGACCTCTTAGCAGCATCTTACGTAGACATCAGCGTTTACCCACTGGCCCACCTAAGCCAACACCAGCTGGACGTCCCTCACACGACAAGAGTTTCAGTGTCGTTCCAGCGATTGTTTTTTCTATGTTTTTCTGATCTAGGAAGATCGACCAACCACTTATTATATAAATGCAAAATGAGCTCTTCATATCTTCATGGATGCTTCCCCTGCATAGCCACCTGCATGGCCATGGCCGAACGACCCGAGCGGATGAGGCCGTCGGCCGCTTCGCTTTGCTCGGCTTCACTCGGCTTCGGTCGGTTGGGCGGTGGTGGATGTCAGGATGCCGACAGCCTTCAATGGCACTGGACCGGCACGACATGAACTGGAAGAATGCACTTGTTTTGACTTGAATGGTCCTGCAAACTACAGAAAGTGGACTTCTTGCCAATCAGCTGGAGCCACCACCAGAACCTGTTCTATGTCAGCCTAAATGTGTCCTACTATCCAAGGCAACAATCTTCGCGCGAGTCTTAAACAATATCTTTCCAAAACATCAAGCTCGGAGTTTCCAGGCAATTGAGGAAGATTCTCCATCATCGGATGCGAATAAAGGGGTTCGCAGCGGTTCGCATTTTCTCCAAAAAAAAAGGTGAACTCCACATCGTTCCATGCAGAAATCGCCTTCGAGTGCCCGCCTAAACGTGTTTGGCACAGGGGTTTCTTGTGCACTAATGATCAACCATCGGCCACCCAATTTCTGACCCTATATAAAAGAAGCTACTAGGGGCTCCTGGCATCGCTACTAGGAGCAAGGACGCTACTAGGGGCTCCTGGCCTCACTACCAGGAGCAAGGACGCTACTAGGGGCTCCATGAGGTTGTGCCTTCGAAGATCTTTCTTCAAGGCAACCAATGATTATTCAATTTATGTTCCATGCACCCTTTGATTTGATTGTGAAAGGAGCTGAAATGGTAGGGCAGGGTCCAACGGGTCAAGGTGTCTTTGTTGCGTCTTTTTGTGACAGCTGCAAGAATTTCTGTATATTAGATAGTGTGACCACGAGACCGGAACTCCTTTCGGTCAAAAGAAGCAACTACACAAGCACCTCACAAACCAAAGATCTGGACAACCGCATGCAACTAATTCCCAGAAATGGACTCCGCGCATCTCTCTTTGGCCAACCTGCCATGTTGCCCTGGATTGCCGGCTTTGCCGTGCCGTTCGCCGCCCGGTTCGCGGCAGCTCTCAAACGGCGTCGGAGACCAACAACTGGGACACGGGGATGCCTGGCGGGTCACCAGCTCTAGGGAAGGAACGCTGGTCACGCTGGACCTTCTCAAGTGGGCTTCGTCGGATAGGGGGAGGTAAAACGTCGAAGTGCAAGGTGGACGATGTGTTCGATGTGCCGAAAGATCCATTGACCGAAGTGATACCTGGACGCAGTACCTGTGAAAAACAAAAGAGACTGTTTTTGTAGTAGTCGCCCCATGCCAAATGTGGGGCATCCGAATAAATGCAGCGTGTAAATATAGTTTTAGTAGATTTAGATAATTATAGAGTATACAGTATAACTAATAACTAATAACAACTAGTTCTTATATATAGCCTGTATTTATGTAATATAAATAAATAAATATATTATATGTGTTTGTGGTGGAACTACAGGATCTTTTCTTTACAACTGTTGTCCAAAAGACTGGAGCCAACCAGAATGTGCACCTGTACAACCATCTAGCTTGGAAACCTACATCTCTCCCGACGCACAAAACTCCTTGGTCAAGAAATGCACCCCCGAGGGCACTACACAATCAATGGATATCAATGATATCAATGGTAAATTGGCCCTACCTCATGGCATCTTTGCGTAAACATGTGCAAAAGTTCAATACAAACAAATAAAACAAATGCTGATACAAAAAGCAAGGTCGGCTTGCTCCGGTACTGTGGGAAACTGAAGGCAACAATGTGCAACTCTACTTGCTGCTACAAACAGCGTTTTTTGGAATGCAATGATTGTTTTCCAGAGAGGGCATCTTCCTATCATAACAACTTACGGACATTTTGCAGCCTGCTCCTGTGTCTCAACCCTAGTGCCACCACACCCCTCCGTTTTCAACAAAACCCTGCGGCAGCTGTGGGCCAGCTCGCGCCTTTCTGAATGCAACGCATGTAGTGATAAATGAAGTCCTGGACATTTCCAAAAGCCAAAGCAAGGACGGTTGTGGATTTGTCCCGTTTTCTCCTGGTTCGATACAGCTGGGCTAAATGCAGCAAGCAGGCCATTGCAAAAACACACACTCGAACATCAAGCACCAAAATAGCGATGGACCATTCGTGCCAAATGGACACTGAAACCTTCGGGGCCGCCCTGCTCCTACCGCATGCGTGTCTTCCTGTGCAGAAACAGGACCAGGATCACGTCTCTCCGCCCGTGACCGGTCCCCCATGATGAGAAGCTGGATCAGCTGGGCGCAAACCACCCAATTGCCCACAAAGGCCTGAGGTGAGCCATCTGCGGCAATCTGTTCAGCTTCTTGGTTCTCAATGCTCAGGTAAGCCTTTTTACTGCACTGAAACGATATGTTGCTGATCAATTGGTTCAAATATTCGTGGGGTTCTGGTGGCTGTGGGACCTTTACATGCCCCAAAGTATCATGAGTCATGACTGGAAGTCTTCGTCTCCCTGCTTGAGACCACCATCCAACGAACAACAACGCTGACCCAAAGCATAAATGTGTACTGCCTGGTTGACACTTGCAAACGCTTTTGCAACCACCTATCACACAACTTCCGTATCCCAATCCTGTCTTTGTGATGTTTCTCCATCTTCCAGCCGCCTATATCAACACCCGCCTGTCTTCCACCCGCGCAAACACCGCTCCGCCTTGATGTGGTGATTGGGGTCTGAGAGCTCGCTGAAGGAGGAGGCCCAGAAAACAAAGGACATCACTTTGGCCAAGGCCTCGGACGACGCCCGGGGGTCGACCTGGCCTTTGAAAGCCCGTGTTTCGGGTCTTGAAGGGGTTTTCCACTGCTGGGTGAGAAATCTCTGGCTGGCGTGCGGGCTTGAAAAACGGGTCAAACAAGTGGTTTTGAGGGATTCCTGGGGATTTTGAGAAGCTGCCGTATCGTGATAATGCCCCATTGTTGCCGTGTCTGGAGGAGAAAACAAAGATGTCCAATCCAATGGTCGAGTTTGGCAGCAGTGTGCATGCAGGGCTTGTATGGAGGATGTGCTGTAGAGATCCAGGATGGATCAAGATGAACAATGAACACATGGACCCATGGCTAAGACTGGATGGAATCACCAAAACTGGAATAACCCATGATCCAAGATGCTCCTTCAAATGACCAAAACTGGATTCAGGATATATCATGATTCATCATGTTTCATCCACTTCTGACACCTGCCAACCAAAATCCACCCGCCAATTGAATCTTCATGACTTCCGGCGGAGGAAATGATAGCAACCCCCCCCAGCTCGGCGTTTAGCAGCACTCGTGGTCTACAGTCTACACAACATTCATGCCTGGAAGCTGTGATGTTCTTTCGGAAAGCACGTTTTTTTTCCGGATTAGTTGTAGCAAAATTTATAGTTCTCTAGTCGGTCACTACAGTGACCATTGAACACATCGCCATGTTCCCCTGAAAACCGACCTCTGACCTCCCACCAACGCTGAACGCGTTCGAAGCCTGCGCTGCGAGGAAGTGGGAGGTGAACCTCGGAGAGAGCTGTGGATGGTGTTCACGTCAGGTGAGCCTCTGGATCAAACCCTCCTGACAGGTGCAAATCTGTTGGTTTGAGGTGGGTTTCGTCCGTTTTGTAATAAAGGCTTCTTCAGCCAATGGATGCGCAGGACTACCACTGAACGGATTGCATCATAGCCCATGTCTATACAATATAACAGCATCGATTCATCAATTGCTGGTCAAGGGCAACGATCCCTGCGTATATCTATGCCTGTCTACCTGTCCGATTCAAAGGCCCCAGGAGTTCAAAAAAGGTGTGTGTGTGTGTGTGTTGTGTGTTGTGTGTGCGTGTTTCGTTTATGCTTGAGGTGTGGATTTATGTGGATTTTAGACTCTCGGAGGGTGGATTATGAGCACCCCCATTCTCCATTGAGAAACCCTTTAGAACTCTTCGTCGCCCATCCATCCATCCATGCAGCCAGCCAGCCAGCCATCCATCCAGCCAGCCACCCATCTTACAGTAATAACATTTACAGTAATAACATACCAGCATGGAAGTCAAACTGTAAGTCTGCAATCTGCTGCATACCTTCCCACCTAGGGCTGGCGAGCACCGCATTTCAACCACCATCAAGGACCCATAGAGAATAATGAGGACCCCACCGTTGAGGCTCCAGTGCTCAATGGAAGCCATTGCTAGTCTGCTATTCTTAAACTGCCCCAAAATCCTCGAATGTGGATGTTTGACACTTGGAACATGCTCCACGCTCTCCCCAGGCTTTAACTCACGATCCTTCAAGAGAATGATCCAGGCACCTCAAACCATCCATGATTCGCATGATTTTTTCGCAGCAAAGAACAAACACAATTGAAACGCACAGTGCCCACGAAACCGCAAGTGCCCACGAAGGTCTTTGATGCGAATATGAAATATGTGACACCAAGCCTTCTGCTAAAACCTGCTAAATTGTTCAAAATGCTGCTGCAATGGCCTGAAAAGAACGCCGCAGCTTAACCCCTCTTGCTTCCAAGGTGCTCTTGCGCCCTGCCCTCTTTCATGAACATGTAGAGTTGGCAAAGGACCGCCACCGATTCCTCTGTCAACTTGCGTTTCTGGCAACGCTGGAAGAAATCCAAACAAATACATTTGATGCCCATTTGCTATCCTTTGCTGATCCCCTCTTTCAGGAAAGGAACGGTTTACCTTTCTCCACCTGTTCATTTTGGATAGAGAAACCAAGACCCCCAAAAAAGTTAAACTATATAATGTTGGATCCTGATTAGTAAAGGGGGGTCCCCCCCCTGTATTTAGTAGGGTCCTAGGTCCCCCTGGGCGTGTCTACGCTATACGTGTGTAGCACCTGTTATTGTACATACATTAGTCTGTAGCTCTTCAGTCCGCTTTCGACATAATTCATTTGGCTCAAGACTTAGAAGCCCAATACTGCATTCACTGCCATAGAAAAGGTGTGCTTCGCCGTAGCTCGCACACCGACTGCTTGTGTTTGACTGCTTGGTGTTTTCGATCAGGTCCAGTTATTCCAACTGCCACTTCTGGGGGAACTTACCCCTCAAAGTGGTAGCGGAGCTTGTGTCTCCTGCTTCGCATTGGTCGATTTTGCCTTCGTGCCGAATCGTCCGATATTCCGGACAGGGGACAACCAAGTCAGTCACTTGTCAAACAAATAGACCATGGTCCAGATCTTTAACATAGATACGGACGAAGAGCATGACAGCGACCTATCTGACGTAACAGATCCAGAAGAAGCTTTTGCAGCTCAAGGTTCGCGTCATCGCCAACAGCATGGAAGGTCCTCGAGTTCGACATACCGGACGTACGAGGCACAGCCATCAGCAGGTGTCAAGATGACGCCAAAGATTCCTCCGTCATTCGATGGACAGTCATCCTGGTTCGAGTTTGAAGATTTGATTGATGACTGGGTGAACATCACCACATTAAGCGCCGAAAATTTAGGCCCATCATTGAAGAACGCTCTAACCGGAAACGCCGAATACTACAAGAAAATGCTCGACAATGAACAGCTTCGTCATGAAAGAAACGGTATTACGTATTTCAAAGAGACGTTGCGTCCATACTTTGTCAAAGGAGCAAACCATGTTTTTCTCTGGCGTTTCATGCAGCTCTTCAGGACCTGGCGCGGAAACGGGGAATTTGTAAGCTGGATCGCTCGTTTTGAAGTCGCTAGCAAGAAAGTCATGGAAGCCTTCATGGGCTTGTTAGATCTTTCGACTGTTCCCCAGCCTGATGATTTCAACTTTACTGATATCCTCTCGCAACAGCAGTACATGCTACTTCAAGGGCTTCAAGATCCCGCAGAAAGAAGAGAAAACACAGAAAGAATCCGTTCTGAACACATTGATGCTTTGAAACAAGCACATCGTGACACCTTTCCATTGTCTGACAACCTGATGTCACTTATTTTCTTAGTTCAGTCGGATCTTAACGAACAGCAAAGAGAAAGGTTTGTAGCCAGCATTGGCCTTGCGTCAGATCAACATGAACAACTACACATACTTAGGTGTCAAAGGCTTATTCCTTGATCTCTTTTGCGGAACCGCCACAGGAACTGCCGATCCTTCGATCCGCAGGCAAAGAAGATCCACTTTCCTTGTCCTCGATGAAGGAGACTTGGAAGAAGAATCCGGATACTGGGTGATGGATCAAGAAACAGGCGAAGAAGGATTTGTGAGTTTGTTCTCAGAGTCCGAATTTTGGGTGTTAGCAGCCAAAGGAGGATACACCCGTAGAAGAATCCATGGTAGAAGATTCAGAAAACCATCCAAAGGCGGCAAGGGAAAAGGCCGCGGAAAAGGCAGAAGACCCGGCTTTGTCAGCCGTAGAGGCAAAGGTGCAGGGGCACATTATGCAGAGTACCCTGACAACTCAGGTTTCTATGGAAAAGGCAAGAAAGGAAAGAAAGATGGAAAGAAAGGATTCAAGGGAAAGGATGCATTCAAAGGCAAAGGAAAAAGCAAGCAACAGAATCCCTTTCAACAATCCAATGTTGCAACCACCGAAGAGCCTTCACCAGCTCAACCATCCACTAATGCCGAAGAAACCTGGAGTGCACATGAAGCAAATTGGTCATGGGACTCGTACGGATATCACACAGACCAGTACTATCCTGAAGATGTCTGGCAGGCAAATGAAGCCACTTGGCAACAATGGACATACTTTGCGGACGGACAGACGGACAGACCGCAAGATGAAGAGCACAAGAGCTCAGATCGAGAGCCTGACCAGATGAACCAGTCAGCAGATTTCCGGTATTACGGAACACATGCAGAAGAGATGACTGGTGTAGAACATGTTTCACAGCCGTATCACCTAAACCCTGCCGGTAGCAGTACAGACTACCGACATTCCGGTTGTTCTGAAGTAATTGATCCACGCTTCTGTTCTTCTTTTGTCAACTTTGACGATGGATTTCACCATGCTCTGCTTTCTGAATACATCGACTTGAGGTACAGCCCGACCTACGTGATCATTGACAGCGGCTGTACCAGAGCAATGGGTTCAAGGACCGCCATCATGCGTCTAGTGAAGGCATGTAAGAGACACTACAATGCATCTAAGATTGATTTCTCTTTTGAGCCTTCATCAAGTCGATTCTCATTTGCAAACGGTGAACAGTCCAATGTCCGAGACAAGCTGGTAATTTACTTTCAGAACGACCAGTCACCCACAGGGTGGATCACAACAGCGATAGATATCTTGGACCAAGGCGACGTTCCAATCCTTTTCAGCGTTGAGCAGCTCAGGAACCTTCGCATGTCTATTGAGCATACTCCAGTCGGTGATTATCTGACTTGTCCTTTGTTCGGCCTGAAGCGATTTTCGCTGCCAGTGAGCACTTCGAACCATAATGTCCTGGACATCATGATGTTTGCCAGCTCAGTTCGTAAGCCGAACCACAGTTTTACTGCAATCAATCCTTCGTATGGAGCCTGTCCTGCCTGCAGCGGAAAGCACCGCAAGCACACATACAAAGATGGATGCAAGAAGGCAGAGACGTCCGAAGTGAAGGAAGACAAGTCTGTAGCCGATATTCCGGCCAAGAAGCCAGACAAGCACATTGCAAGTGGAGATGCCAAGGTCGATCCGCCATCAAAACTCATTTCGATGCCTCCGCCGGCTAAGAAGGTGACACCTCCGACATACCGGAAGACAGAGAAGTCACCTGATTTTGGTACGCCATTTGAGCATTCGAAGATTCCAAGTTCGAGCTCAGGAGCCGAGAAGCCTGACGTACCTCCAGCAGAACCTGACATGCCGGTGAAGCCTGATCCTCAGGAAGAATCCAAGGAAGACGTGAAACCAATATCAACAACAGCACATCGAGAGAAGAAAGCTCCTAAGGTTTCAGTAACACTGCCGTTAGCATTGCAGAGAATCCATGAGAAGCTGTCTCATCCAACTGAACTCTTGAAACTGCATTTGAAGCACTATCACATGTCAACTGAGCAGTTCAAGAAACGAACATCAGGTTTGAAGATTCCTGCTAAGATCTATGAAGAGTATGAAAAGGTAGTCAAGCAGTGTGACACATGTCAGAAGTCCAAGATTGCACCATCAAGATCAAGAATTTCAGGTATGAGAAGTGAAACGTTTGGAGAACTCACCTTTGTTGATCATGGTGAACTTGCTATCAACGACAAGTCCGAACTTCTTTTCCTGATTATCTATGACGGTGCTACTTCTATGACCACTGCTTACGTATGTAACGGCAAGACTGAAGCAGAAACGATTGGCCATCTTTTGGAGTACTTTGAGACATACCAGTTGAATCCTAAGTATCTTGTCGGTGATCAAGGTTTCATGGGTACTGAACTTGAAGCTTTTTACAACAGAAAGAATATCCGACCGATCACTTTAGGACCCGGTGATCACCCTGATGCTTAAGTCCGTGACTGAGGATCCATCCAGATACGAGATCACGTACCGTCAACTCCTCAGACAAGCATCACTTGCCAGGAACTCCATGGTTACTTTTGGTGGAGTATCTCCATTGGAGATGGCATTTGGACGGCGACCTGCAGATCTTTTGTATCCAGAGAACATGACACCAGAACAGCTTACAGCTTCACTTCCTTCTCCCGAGAAAAATATAGATGCTGTCAGAACACTTGCCATGAAGTCTTATCTAGAAGCAAAACAATCCGACGATTTGAGAAGAGATATTTCTGCAAGACTTCAATTGAGTGATGGTCCATTTTTCCCTGGTGATAAGATATACTATTGGACAGAAGATAAATCCAAGGTAAAGTCTGATGGAACCCACAGTGGTAAATGGATCAAGGGCAAGGTCATCAGTTCTGACGGCAGTATGGTTGGTATCGATTTAGGCACCAGAATTTTGAAGGTCAACATCAGCAAGGTCCGTAAGGACATCAATGCGATCGAAGATGTTGAGGTGCCACTCGACCCGGTTGCACTTCTGAGTTCTGAGAGTGAACGGACCGATATTCCGGTCACTGACCACGCAAGCTCTCTAGTCCAGAGCGACGGAGCCCAGATCGGTGTGGAAGGCTTCACATATTCCTCTTATGCATGGCAACCCGTCATGGCTGGCAAGATTGATTTCTTAGAACTGTTCGCAGGTTCAGCACGGTTAAGCCAAGTTGCGGCAATGAATGGTTTGCGTGTTGGACAACCTATTGACCTGAGAACCGGATTTGACATCTTGACCAGCGATGGACGTAAGAGGACGATGGACATCGTCGAAAAACAGAAGCCTAGAGTCATTTTTATGGCGCCGCACTGTGCTCCTTGGAGTCAGACGACCAATATCCATGATCGTGCAGCACGAGATCAGCGCAGACAGAAGTTTCTTCCAATGTTGGAATTTTGTTGTCGTGTTGCCATATTTCAGATTGAACACGGAGGCCATTTCATCATAGAGAATCCTGCTTCATCAGCTCTTTGGTACACCCGATGTTTTCAACGTCTTTTGTCACAACATGGTGTTACCTATGGCACTCTTGATATGTGTTCATTTGGAATGAAAGAACCTAACGGCTATTATTACAACAAGCCAACTTCTCTTTTACACAATTTGATGAAGGAGTCTTAG